TAAACACAACTAAACTGCAATGATAGCAAAGCTGTGGCTTGGGTTTTTGGGGAAATAAAGTCCAAATCATCGTTGGGCTCACCCAATGAGTGACGTCTGAGGAAGATGACAAATGTAAATTATACATTGTTGAGAAAATGCTGCATCTCTTGCATTTATTGACGTAGAGGAGCCTTATTGTTGACCTTTTTAATATAATTGTTTGTAAGTTGCAATTACTTGTTTTTTGTGAAATTAGCCTGTTTTCCTCTTAAAGTGTAACATATTTATGCATCTCCACAGATTCTCTTTAAGGCTTCCCTAACAAAAAAAATCCCCCCATTGTAGTTAAAAAACTGTAAAAACTAGGGCCCCCAAACAGCATCTTGCATAGGGTCCCCAAAAAGCTAGAAACGGCCCTGCTGCACCACTGGTCTCCGGCCCATGTCTCTGAATTATCAATGCAAGTCAAGAGCACATTAATCTGCAGAAAACATAATCTATATTCTGTGAAGATTTGTTAATAGATTAATTCTATATCCCTTTTGCCTATTGGTGTAGATATAAGCCGAGAAACAGTCCATTGCCAGACAGTGAGCGAATGAGTCATGAAAGTAAATACCCAACACATCACACTGAACACTCATGCTCCACTTGTGTCATCCCCCTCCCTTTCCTCCTTTTCCTCCTCTTCCTCCCCCTCATCCTCCTCTTTATATAAACTGCAGGGAAACCCCATCAGAGCATTAGAGACAAACTCAGATGGAGATTACTGACAGACTGTAGCAGGCACATTAAATCGCTCCGGGATTTACCAATCAAATGTGTTGCAATCATAGACTGTATGGTTGCAATGCTCCTGTGAACTTAGTTTTTTAAGGCGGGACACTCCTTTTTGCATCTGATCTTTATAGTAGCCTAGGAATAATTTATTTTTATCAGGCAGGGTGCAATAACTTACTGTTGGAGTAAAACTGCAGAAGATAAACTAAGTCTACTTGTGTTACTGTCTTGTTTCTACGGGACTTCAGTGCATTTTGTAAGTAAATCTCCAGGAAACAAACTGGCATTTTATGTGTTTTTGAAGCGGATAAACTGTAAAGCAACTTTTTTGTCGAGGGTGTTTTCCCTAATAGAAGTTAAAGCTCCACATCGGTTAAATCACACCGGTAAATCCAGCTCACCCTCACGTTAACCCCCGGCACCATGCTGTCCAGTGTGCGCCGGCACAGCCTCCGCCTGCAGACCGAGCTGCACCGCTGGAGCATCTGCGACCCAGGCAGCCAGCAGCTCACCGACAGCCTCCTGGCCCGGGTCCCCGCCTGCATCTCCCGCTCCAAGTCCTGCACCAACTCCGCCGGGGAGTCGGACGGGAGCCGCCTGAGCTGGTCGTCCTCAGACTCGTTCATCTCCACCGACTCCGCCGGGGAGTCTGCGGAGCCCGGCGGCCCGTACCGGGTGGTGCTGTTGGGGGCCAGCGGGGTCGGAAAGACGGCCTTCGCCAACATCTTCGCCGGAGCAGCAGACAGCATGGACAGCGATGACTGCGAGCTGTGTGGAGGTGAGGAAAGACGACAAATATAACTATAGTGAAACTTTATTTTTGATAAACGGCAACAAAAAAAAGAAATCCACATGAATAAATGACAACGTACTTTTTGTCATAATACAATCTAGTATTGGCATAACATCTGATAAGGACACTATTATGTCAGTGTGTAGACTATTACCTTGCATTTGTTCACGGCACTAAAAAAGCACAATATTGTTCCTATTTTTTTTATATAAGCCTATTGTTTCACTTTTAAAGTGTTCCCCTTTGTTTGTTATGTGTTTCTTTCCAGAAGAGGTGTGTGAGAAGGAAATTGAGGTAGATGGAGAGCCTGCAACTCTGACACTTCTTGACACATGGGATGCAGAGGTGAGATAGAAACAGCTACATTGACTTGTGTGACTCAGATGATGGCACACTGACTGTACACATCTAAGTGAAAATATTGAATCTAACTGTTTTTATTTGTGTTTTCAGACTGACAACAAATGTGCTCAGGAACCCTGCATGCAGACAGGTGATGCCTACCTGCTGCTGTACTCTGTGACTGACCGGGCCTCGTTCCTGCGAGCCTCTGAGCTCAGGATCAGCCTGCGGTGCGTCCGTCCTGCACAACACACACCCATCATCCTGGTGGGGAACAAATGTGACCTGGTGCGACGCAGAGAGGTGTCTGTCAGTGGTGAGGATACAATCCCTGTCTGTGCGTAATGAGCACTATTCACTGTAAGGTTTTAACTTATTTAAGTACTCATCATTGGCTTTCTGTTTCAGAGGGTCGTGCCTGCGCTGCTGTCTTTGACTGCAAGTTTATTGAAACCTCAGCCGCCATGCAGCACAACGTGTGGGAGGCTTTTCACGGCATGGTGCGACAGCTGCGTCTACGCCGAGAATCCAAGGAAGCCAACAGGCACCGCAGGCACATAAACTGTAACGCACGCAGAGAGAGCCTCCCTAAGAAGGCAAAACGCTTCCTAGACAAGGTGGTGGCAAAGAACAATCCTAGTGTGGCGTTATGGCTCAAGTCTAAGTCCTGCCATGATCTCTCCGTGCTGTAGGAGCCTGACGGAGTTTGGTTTAACTCTGCGCCAAACCTTTAAAGCAGACTCCAACCTGGAGAGCAGAACATGGTGACACCTGCTTCTGAAGGGCTAAACGTTGGATGGTTCAAACCTCAGTCCTCAGTGTTCACACTGAGCCAGGCTGGTGTACCTGAGAGGTGTTTGCAACTTTTCGGCAATGCATCCATATGCTGCTCTCTAAAGCAGACTGAGTGGAAGAGCACAGCCTTTGCAATGGACTTGACGCAAAGACTTCATGTGTTTATGAGGCATTAATGTTGGAGGATCACCGATGGAAACTGAGAGAAAGCTGTAATGTTTCTGTGTTTTGAACAAATGCATTCATATTGTTCTTTTCTCTCCTGCCATCTCTCTTTCCTCATCCTTTAGCTCTCATCCCTCCCAATCGTGTCGTCTGTCAAAGTGCTGAGATTACCAGTTGTAAGCTATTGATGATTAAATATGAGGATGATCATCTAGTGGTTTCTTTGATTTGATTTATTACGTGTTGTCTTTGCACTCTGTAATAAATAACAGACTGATGATGTGTTTTGCTACTTGTATGTTTCAGTGTTGTTTATTGAAATAAAGTGACATCATCCAATTTTGGATAATACAAAAAAACTGTTGCTTGTTGTCTGTCATCTCAAAATTAACAATGAGATGGGTGACTCAGCTTTGATACAAAGGAGACACAACTGAGCTGTCAAAAGATGAGTCAGGTGACATTAAAGCTGAACTTTTAGAAACACATAAGTCCCCTTTTTATGTTTGTCTGTCTGCATGAGAGAAAATAGGTAAAATATATTGCCATGGTAACATTCCCAGGAAGTGTTTTGTGTATGTTCATTTGAGTGACCGTCAGGCAGATGGTGTTGGAGCCAGAACATCTATCAGAAGGCAGAGCAGCAAACATTAGATAACAGAGTCCCCTCCATCTGAATTCATGGTTTCATCCGCTGAGCCATCAACTCACAGGTTCTGGTTAAATGACGGTGCTGTGAAACGGTGACTCACACACAGCCTGTTATTCTACAGTTGCAGATTCACATAAAGCTCTGTGTTGTTTCCAAGCAGCTTTCCGCAGCTTGTCAAGCCTGCAGCTTTTAGCCCATGATAATAGCCTGTGTAGCATTAGGGTGTTTTGGAGATAATTCTGGCTAAATGTGAGGTCGGGTGATAAATGTGAAAGCAGTACAAATCTTGAAAATATTGGACAAAAAATGAATAAAGTACTATTGTTGCCACATTTTAAGTTAAAACAAGATTCTTACACACATTATTGTTTTTATCATATAAAGCTTGAGTGTATTGGACTCGTCATCTTCAAAGCAAATACAGCAAGAGATTACAGAGCTGCAGCAGATCCACTAGAGCAGCTTGATGTGGCTTCTGTCAGATAAAACATATTTTGCTCGGACAGCTTTTTCTGTGAAAGGAACAAATTCCTTGAAATGGCTACCTGATCACTTGAAGTGTGCTGCAAATTCACCGCTTTAAAGAGAGATACCACTCGTGTTAGTTCAGAAACAAAGCTGTACTCATCTCTATTCTTTTAATGTTATGTTTTTATGTGTGTTTAAATGTATCTAGGGGTATTCAGCATTTACTTTTACATTCCTGTTCTAATCCCCCAGATTTTGTTTGGCAACTTGCTTTGTCATTTGTCTATGTTAAATGCTCCTATTAACTATACCATCAATTAATAATAACACGTGAAGAAAAACATGGGCTTTCAGGTTTTTGATGGCGTTATAAACTTTCTAGAGGTGGGAAAGTTTAGGGAGGAATCTCACCTGCTGTTGAAGACTTTTATAGACTGTCCCTTGACCTGCTGAATCACACCAGATGACCCCATAGGTTTGCATTCTTATGATGCAATGGATTGTGAGTGTAATCTGTGAGTCCTATTGTCTATGCACACACAGCTCTTATCAGGCACTGCTACTAATGGAAAATCTAACAGTGCAGAGGTGCATAGGTCAAAGTCTGAGGGGAATTTAGAAACTAAAATGCTGAATAGCAGATTTCTACATACATTTACCCCCATTGTTATACCCTTTTCATTCCAAGTTTTTCTCTTTTTCTTTTCAATGAACACACCTGTTGTCTCAAAAATACTCAATTGAAAATCCTTCAGCTTGTTTGTTTGCTACTATAATCCACTATCAATCTATACCTGGTGAGTATTTATGTAAAAATCAGTGTCTAATATTAAGTGATCATTTGTTTGTCTTTTACAGTACTGTCTGAATCATTGTTCTGTTCTTCCTGTCTCCTTCTCCCTTGTCAGCTTCTCTCCCATTGGCTAGCTCCTCATGAGGGCAGGGAGATTAGACAATCATTAGATTCAATAAAACATAGCTGGTTAGCGCTTGGTTAACGTTTGACCAGACAGGATGGGGCTGCTAAGATCACTCTGAGGTCTAGGGAGTGACTCGCTAGATCGCTTCAGAAAGGTAAGTCTGCTCACTCTCTGTCTCCTAGCTTTGGAAATGTTGAATATTTGGGGTAGATTTTGATGTGAGAATTGGACAGAAACTGATCTGCCTCTTTGGGTTTAACTGGATGTGTTTAGTGTGCCAGGTGCTTTTAGTTAAATTCAGAAAGGCTGTGATCTTCAGTTGACTTTGGCAGGGCCTTTGCATCAGGCGTTGGCAAATCTGACATTCGACCTGTCCTTCCTCTCTGGTGGCTTCCTGGTTTGTCTTCAGTGCCTGGCTTTCAGGGGATAATACCTGTATGGGGCACTATATTTGATGTTATAAGAGCTGAAATGCAGACTGACAAAGGTCATTGAGACAATTTGCTAAAAGGAGGAAGAAAGGGCCTGCAACACCGAAGTTATTTCATCATACTTACATCAATCCTTGTTGCGACAAATACATTAAATACATCCACTTACAGAGTGTTTTCCTCACAGGAAGTCAAGCTTAAATTAAAAGTGATTTCTGTTAAATGGTAGTGCCAGAAATGTCTTGTTTGTTTGAATATTCCCGTCAGCAGAGGTAGTGATCCTATGGAGACAAAATCCGAATTAAAGTTGAACTCAAGCGAAATTGAACAAAAGTTACCTTGCTTTCTTATATTATCTTATATTAAGGAGTGTACCAGAGCGGTGACATTAAAGGTGTGCTGTGCTACAATAAGGTCATTAGCCGCGACTCAATGTCACCTTCACTTTTCTGTGGCCGCAGACTTTAGCCTCCTCTCTACGCTGCATTTTACAAGTCTGCATATCTCAAACGTGACAACTTTTCTATACAATCCTGATACATTTTCTTAACACAATCAGTTAGTTTAGTCTTGTTCCACATGAATGAATACTGTCATTGTCCAGAGCGTAGTCATTGTGATGTTCCCTCAAACAGTATTGAACATATATTCTGCTGTTATCTGGACATAACGTCTTTGAAACACTTTGTACATTTTGGATGTCAGAGAGACAGTGTTTGCTATCAATCAATTTGTACAAAATGAAACCACACCCACCTATACAAACACACAATGGAGGCTGTTATGTTATTCTAAACTCTGAGATAGCTGTAAACTCATTGAGGTTTCCACATTGAGCTTTGGGTACCTTTGTCATGTTGATACCCTGTGTGAAAAATTGTTTTTTTAAAAGTCTGGCGATGCAATTGAGCTCTGACTTTCAGTTTCTGCTGTGTGCTGAGGTGGGTGGTTGAGCTGGATGTGTGGGTGGAGCCACACAAGGAGATACCATGTTCATGTGTAGATATCCAAGGACACATTTTCCTTGTCTTTATGAATCAATAACTAATTTTGCTGAACAGAGTAAGTCGTGTACTGAAGCACACTGGGGTTAATTGTTTCTAGAAGGACTCAGTAACAATTATCGACACCATTTCCCATAATTCCCGTTAGCAAAAGATGTGAATTTAACAGCAGGGCACAGTATTCAAATCTTATATAATGTCTTTTTATTTTCAAGGGCTTAATTTAAACCATCCTCTCATGTCACCTCTGCCTCCTCAACCTCTTTCTTTCCCGGGCCCTTTCACCATGTTTTAATAACACCTATCCCCCATATCTCCTCTTCCTTCCCAGGCTGTGATCATGACACCCATGATGCATCTGTGGTTGCTCCCACTCCTGTTGAGCATTGTGAGTACATAACACTGCCAACTGTTGTTCCTATCCTTTAATTCATATTCATAGTAAATGCACAATCAGAGGACCCTCTTAAAAGGCTATTGGATTCATTCATGAACAATTAATAGGTGCAGGAAGTATAGGCTTGACAATCTTGAACAAAGAAAATATTGATAACCAAGTTAAAGAAATGTGTGCAAGAAAGCTTTTGGCTACTTATTTAAAACGCATAAAGGAAGTGTGAATATTACTAAACTAAGCATTAGTCTTTTGTCCGTAGACTTTGCTCTGTCCTGCAGCGAAATACAAGAGTTCCCCACTTGTCATGTATTCTTGGTTCAATAAATAACTTGGCTGTAAAACATGCCCTCAATGCCTGACTACATTCAGCTGCAGTATCAAGTTGAAAGTGCTAATGTGTGTGTGAGTGTGAGAGGTTCAGTTTGAACTCAGCCTCTAGTGTATTCAGTGACCTTTGACCTCTGTTTCTGTTCTGATAGGCCTTCGGGAAGGATCTGGAGGAAAAGAAGGGACTGTTTGAGAACACACAGCTGGATGTGGCAGAGGGGACACCAGTGCCATATGCCATGCATCAGGTATTACACACATAACTAAAAGCAATTATTCAAACACTACACTTAAGTACAATTTTCATGTATATTTACCTTTTTCCTCAAACACTACTTCATACTACTTCAACGCATCAGAGGTTTAACAATTATAAATGTGTTGATAATTAATGTGACTCCCGGGTAGAGATTGAGCAATATAGGCTGTTATCTTTAAAAACAATAACTATCAATAAATTGTTCTATGTGAATTTCTATTATGTGGTTACATGAGAGATTTGAAAAAGCGGTCTAGCTCTATTATGTTGGATAGGTGAAAATGAAAGCTTTTTTAAAAACAGTTATTCAGATATAACAAAGACCAGACTTACACAATGTCGCCATGTATTTATATGTTATGCATGGTGACCTTATTCAAGTCTGTTTTCCAATAATAATGATAATCACTAGAAAGACATGTGTGTCCTACCTGCAGTGAATGTGTTTCGTAACAACTTGTATCGTTAAGTGACCATCTTTCCCTTCATAGTTTCAGGTGACCCATCTAGGTGTAAATAATTTCAGGCTGAGTGGAGAAGGTAAGGAAGACATTAGGATTACACAGGACGGGTGGCTGTACCTGGAGAAGCCTCTGGACTGGTCCCAAGAAGATCATTACATGCTCATGGTAATGTGGTCCTCTCTCCTCTTGCAAATACACAGCATAAATGTAGTCACTATAAAACTTTATTTATATGTACTTGTGCTTGTTTGTTTGTGTGGCTTCATCCAGGTGGAGGCACTGGCAGATGAGGAAGTTGTGGATGGCCCAATTTATGTGACGATAAATGTTGTGGATATGAACAACAATGCTCCTTACTTCAACCAGAGCACCTACACAGCTGTGGTCAGAGAAAACAGTCCAACAGGTGTGTTTTAAATTGGTGAACGTCCGGGTATTTGTGAAAACTGCTCGAGTGGCTTTTAGGGAGACATTTCTTCCTTTTACCCCACCTTTGCTGGGGCATGGCTTCACATCTTGGAGGGTTAAGTGCATCAGTAAAATTGTGTGAAACCTCTGGCAGGAGTTGTGTATCTCATTGGCATCGGAAAATAATTGTATTTCAACCTTAAACCGTCAGAGAATAACAGGAAAACAGGAAAGAGTAAAAAAGGAATACTGTTAAAGTTTTTCACGAGACATGTTTCAATGTAGAGTGACACCAAGCGTACACACAATACAAATGCATTTTCTAATATATATTATGAAATAAGAATACTTTTTTTCATTGCCTAAGGGAAAATTAAATAGGAGAACAGTATTTTAAGGGTTGCTTTTTGGCATTGGGCTGTAGTGTATTCGATGTAGCTGCTCTTTAGGATGCATTGGCAGGAAAACATTTCCTTCATTACAGCTGTATTACTGTGCAATAATAAGGCTCTAAGGAAAATACATGATGTACTTTTGAATGTGTATGGCAATAAAAAACTGTGTGATAAACATCTAGAAGCATTAGAAAGCAGGATTGCTGGCATGCGTGTGGGTTAAGCCTTATTGTTGCCTGACATCATTACATTTCTCCGGTTTGAAATACTCAGAGATTATTTCACTGGGATAAGACTTCAGTTTTTATAAATCAGTTTTGTATGTTGTTTCAGGTACCCCATTTGCACAAGTGTTTGCATTTGATCGGGACGACCCAGAGACTCCAAACGCTCACCTGAGCTACAGCCTGGTCAGCCAGATCCCCAACAACCACCAAGTCCCTCTGTTCCAGGTGGACCCCCATACCGGAGAGATCTCCACCACAGAAGCAGGTACTAACACTTTCATTAACACACTGTCATTAACACACATACATGAACATACAGACGTCGGGGAACACAGAACCAAGAGCACCCTCCGTGAGAAAGTCTGTAATCTGTCCATCTCTGCCTGTAATCTGGCAGTATAGTGCCACTGTAAATCCAGATTACACAGCTCATCTTGTGAGGCGAGATTAACGCTGATTGGAGGCAGATTGGCTGAAGGTATCGCGTGATGTTGATCACCGATTACTTTGAGCTTGTAAATAAGGCTGAGTTTGAAGATGCTTGTTTACATCTGTGAGCTGTTTGCCATTTTACTGAACAGTATTTAATGTGTGTGTGTTCTTTAAATAGGGGAAAAGATGCTTAAGGCTAGAGAAGGCATCCACTATGGCAAAGGAGAAGATCGCAGCATTGACGCTCTGAGGACGAAGTTTGACGACTACTGCCCAGTGAAGAACATCCCTTATGAGGAAAACCCCTTCTTCACCTGTGTGGAGAAAGCAGGTTTGTACCCAGCAACACAAATAATAATACACATGCTTACACATACTCAGCGGGGGAAGAAGTACTTAGATATTTTACTTGAACTAAAAAATAAATATCCCAGTGTAGAAATATTCTGTTGAAAGAAAATATCCTGCATTAAGAATTTAACAGAAAAAGTGCAAACATATTAGCATCAAAATGTACTCAAATTACTAAAAGTAAGAGTACTCATTATGCAGAAGGGTCCATTTGATTAAAATGGATCATATTTTTTTATTTCGAATAAAAATGTGATGCATTCAAATGTATATTACCTAAATGTTGCTGCTGGTAAAGATCTGGCATACTTTTACAATATTATAAACTGCTAGGCAGCTTGCCCTTTTCATCAAAGGATCAATAAAGTTCTAATCTGAATCTGCAAAGAAATTATTAACTACATTTATAAAATAAAAATCATGGAGTAAGGCGTATAATATTTCACTCCGGGATATAGTGTAGTAGAAGTATAAATTAGCAGAAAATGGAAATACCTTAAGTAAAAAACAATGACTTACTAATTGTACATTACCTTTACAAGTTCAGCACATTCAACAAATGTGAAAGTGAGAGGTGGTGTTAATGTAGATAAACACAGAATCACAGAGGAAGAGACGCCTGCCAGCTGCTGGTGCTGCTGGTGTGATTTATCTGGAGATGAGGTGACGAGTGTAGACGGGGAGAAGCATGTGACTCATTTTTCTGAAATTAGAGATCTAGTCAAATAAGTTTGTCATGTTAAACCCTCCAAAGTCTTTGTTTTTGTTGCCTGTGTGGCTCTAGATAAAACGTGTGTCTTCCTCTGTGGTGTCAGAATTGAGGAGGAGGAACATGGACCCCCTGGAGGACCCAGACTTCACCCTGTCAGTGCGCGTGCAGGACCTGGGAGGAGCGTCGGAGACGGCGCTGAGTGGAAACGCCATTATGCACATTGTTGTGCAGCAGAACCTTTGGGTCAATCCTGGCCCGATAACTATTAAAGAGCACTTGAAGGAGTCTTACCCTAAGGTCATCGCAAAGGTACGGAGGGATTCTATCTCTGCAGAATTGCAATCATGTCATATCCACTTTATATCCAGAATCTAACCTTCGCGATCTGGCCTCTTTCCTCCCTGTCTGGATCCAGGTCCAGTCCAATGAGCCCAATGCCATCTACACGTTAGTCCAGAAGGAGCGAGAGCTGAAATTCCCCTTCCAGATCACAGAAGAAGGAGAAATACATCTGACAGAGGAGTTGGATAGAGAAGACAAGGACATGGTACACAATAACAGCTTAGTTTGCCCAATAACTCACTGTTATCCTACATGACAATAACTTCTCAAACTTCTAGGGATGATTGTTGAACTTGTGTTTCAGTACATCCTGGTGGTGTTCGCAGTGGATGAGATGGAGCAACAGGTGGATCCACCCATGGAGATTCACGTGTTGGTGGGGGATGTGAACGACAACGCACCCGTGTGTGAAAATATGGAGACTGAGTTTGAGGTGCAGGAGGACGAGCCTGAAGGTACGATGTGTGCGTGTGTGTGTGTGTGTGTGTGTGTGTGTGTGTGTGTGTGTGTGTGTCCGTGTGTGTGTGTGTGATCATTACATAATGTGTTATATGTACTTTACATTTAATGTTTAATAACTGTAGATTCAGCTATCTGTAAGAATTACTATAATGTTGCAGCTGGTAATAATGGTGAAAATTGAAACTACTTTATATACTGCAGGGACGCATCTTTAATAATAATAAATGATATTTTACAAGTTAATTATATTTTGTATGATACAATACCATATTTAACATAAGATTGAAATACTCAAGTCTAGTAGATCAAATTGAACTAAGTACTGTAAATGTACTTTGTTCCACTGCAACTCACTAACTGATACTTAAAGTGAAGTTAAAGACTAACCTTTAATACCACCTGTCTTGAGATCACATAATTAAACATATCTATATCATAAAGAAGAAAATTGGGTGAAATTTAAACAAAAAGAAAACTCTATTCTTGTCCTTTGATAAACGCACACAGAACAAAGTTTGTTACATCCTGTGATGTAGGCTAAAATCGTCTCATTCTGAATAATATATATTGTTATCATTGATATTTTTGACACAAAACTCCTGAATTGTGTTTACTCCTTTCTGGTCAACGTTGCAGTCTTCTACAGCGGGGTTTACTTTGACTGTAACCAGAGCCCCTTGGACTGTTTATTCTTACAGTCTGTTTCTTGTGCTTCCAGGCAGCCTGATTGGACTGCTGTTGGCTCACGATGACGATCAGGCCGGGACAATAAACTCTTTGCTCACTTACACCATCCTGTCCCAGATTCCAGCCACCTCCCCCAACGCCTTCTCCATCGACGCTGCTTCCGGAAGAATCCAGGCACTGCGCCCTCTGCAGCGGAAAAACCACCATGTGTATAACCTCAACGTCAGAGTCAACGACCCAGGTAACAAACTGTGTCATGTCACACACCTGAAAACAAAAGTCACACAAAAACAAACTGGTCAAATGGTTGTAATATTTTTATTCATTTTGAAAACTTAATGGACTCAAGCTTTTGCCTTTTAATCCAAATTTGTTTCTATTTTTGCCAATTCTACAATATAATGGGCAATTATAGGAAACAAACGTTATTTTATTTGTAATAGATACAAACTTTTTAAAAATGATTTAGTCAAGTTAAAGTTAAAAAGCCCTGAATTAATTCACTTTATTATATATTATTTAGTTTTTCTTAAATGTTAAAAGCTTCTTGCACAATCCCTTATTTATTTCCCGGAAATGTATGTTCTCTGTGATAACTGAATTCATTTTATTTATTGTTGTTGGTAGTTTACTAATCACTAAAGGTGAAAATAATAATGTTTCCCCTCACAGCTTACAGCACAGAATGTAAGGTCGTCGTCAAGGTCATTGACGTCAATAACGAGACGCCTCAGTTTGAGAAGACCAATGTAAGTATGTGAGCCACACCTTCCTCGCGTTTTCCTCACACTGTTTGGCTGATTTTATTCATGTTTCTGTGTGCAGTACGGCACTCAGTCTCTGTCTGAGGACATTCCTGTGGGACACACCGTGCTGTCCATCAAAGCGACCGACGCCGATGACCCCGACAGCGGCAGCTCGCTCATCGAGTTCCACATCGTAGCTGGAGATGATGAAGGTGTCTTCAGTGTGCAGACCGACGGCCACGGCGTTGGCCATGTGGTCGTATCTAAGGTACGTAACTCCTTTTTCTACATCTCCCATGTGGTCTTCCAATGGTTTGGATCTGGAACTGTTCCGTGTTGAACTGTTAGTTGATTCGTTCATTGTTTTGTAGGCATTCGTGTGGTATATATGGCTTATATATGGTTGCAACTGATGATTACTATTTTTAATCCTTTTATATTTTATTGATTTGTTTTATCAATAAAAACATGTTTTACTCTTTAATATGGCAGAACAAAAATCCCAGTCTAAGCAATTGTTATTTTGAATTTTTTGTTTGAACCAATCAGCAGTCCAAAACTGTGTAGCGTTTTTTAAAATATAAAAAATAAAAGCTATACATTCTCACGTTTCAGCAGGAAATGTGTTTTTTTCCGGTATAAATGAATAAAAAAACTACCAAAATAGTTGGTCATTCTTTTCTGTAATTCTTCGTAAAGCTGTTGGATCTGAATTATTACTTTTGTGTGACAAAATAGAAAGTAGTCGTGCGTGAATGTGTAGATAGAGCTGCTTAGCACGACTTTAAATATACAATTCCTTGGATAAGCAGGGTGGAGAGTTTTTCTTGGCAGCCATCTTCTCCAAGAAATGTAACCTGTGAGTCAGGACTGTGTTGTGACCTTCAACATTTTATTTCCTTTTTTATTTCTAACCCGCCTGCTTGTCTCCTGACAGCCTCTGGACTTCGAGTCCTCCGTCACCTACAATCTCCAGATTGATGCTCGTAACACGGAGCCGCTGATGAAGGGTCTGGAGTACGGCAGCGAATCCACAACCTCCATCACTGTGTCCCTCACTGACGTGGACGAGGCTCCAGAGTTCAGTCAGGACATCCTGGATGTGACGGTGCCCGAAAACACCACCAAGGGATCGGTGCTGCTCACTGTGGAGGCTAAAGATCCAGAGGGCAAAGAGATCCGGTAAATAAATAACACAGGCCATACCAAGCACGCACCAACTACCATGAAGACTAAAATCAAGTAGGAATTGAATCTTCGCACATGTATTGTCAGTGTACCAACAGCCTGATATATCTTCCCTAATATTTATCCTTCTTTATGAAACAAAATGAATTACATTTAATGTAAGGATTTGGGTCTTCAGCATAGAAAAACATTAGGAAGTTGGAGATAGACTTATGTACTGTTGGTATTTGTTGACAACAGTAGAAATAAAGAATAATCTCTGCCTTGTGCTTTAATATGAAGTTCCTCTAAAACCCTTCAATAATAGCTCCCACAAACCTTTATAAAATGTCAGCAACTAAGAAAATTCCCAACTATTGAAATGTTGAACTATTAAATATCTTAGAAAATTAAATATGTTAAACTACACATCAAATTACTAATAATTGTTTTACTTTTTATTTAAAGGCAATAACCACAAAAACAGCTCAGAGCTATAAACCCTTACACGGACTTCAAAACACACTCCTAAAAACCTGAGGGAGACAACACTTAGTCTGTATCCATGTTGTTTATCTGCTTAAACAAGATGTGATGTATGATAGAGGACTGAACACACACACACACACACACACACACACACACACACACACACACACACACACACACACACACACACACACACACACACACACGGAAATGTTCCACTGGATCATTACTGTCTTTGTTTTTACCATTACTGCGACTGTTAGGACTTGACATGTACACAAGCCAGGCTATTGAATTGTTTTGACTACCATTATCCCCCCCCAGGCCCCCAGTCCAGAGCCTGGTGTACTGTGGATGATTTATAATATATATTACTAATATACACACTTATTTGTGTGTGATTGTTGTTCAGATTCACGTTGGACGGTGACTCTCAAGGATGGCTGGAGATCGATGCTGCCACAGGAGAGATCAAGACCAAAGGAAAGCTGGACAGAGAAACGCTGGAGTCTTTTGAAGTCACTGTCACTGCATTTGAGAAGGGTGAGATATCAGCTTCTAACAGTGTCATGTTTTCTCAAGGATTGTGCCTTTAATTTATAAGAAAACATCTAGGTGAGCAGAGCAACTAAGAAGATCTCTTTAACAAAGGAACATTGGTACAGAAGTGGATTCAATAACTTGATAATATTATTAATGTTGTTAGTATTTTATGTTCTTACAAACTGAAACCTGACCATTGTTTTCCTTTATTTAATAAACTAGTTTCAGGAGACCTTTCTCATGCTTTTTGATTTATCTCTAAAGAGAACCCAGAAAAGTCTTCTGAGCGTGTGGTGTCTGTGAGGCTGCTGGATGTCAACGACAACTTCCCCAAACTGACGGAGAAGCAGGCCTTCATCTGTGTGAAGAACGCCAAGCCTGTCACCATCAAGGCCGAGGACACAGACAGCGCTCCCTTCTCCCAGCCGTTCACCTTCGCTTTCGCCCACGGCAAGAAATCTCCCAACTGGGAACTGAAGAGCGTTGACGGTACGCTGACGTTCTTTACTAGTCATTTAAGAAAGCAGAGAAAGTGTTAACTAAAACGTTTTACAAATCTTAACACTGTTCTTGTGTTTCTTTGTCTGTTATACAGGTTCATCAGCCACACTGACTCTGAGGAAATCTCCGATTGAAGATAAAACCTTTGTAATTCCCATTAGCATTAAAGACAGTACAGGCCTGGGAGTCACACAGTCGTTTGAGGGTGAGTTCAAAGCCCAATATGTAGTAAAAATATTAGATTAGATAGAGCTTTATTGTCTCCCATAGGAGAAATTTGTCTTGGGCATCGAGATAATAACCATAAAACATTTAGGACAATCAGTCATAGATACAGAACAGAGATCACATATCACATGGCCAAGAAACATACAGGTACAGAACTTTCCCTATTGCACATATCCCTATTGCATTCATACATAATCAAATATTGTACTTTTCCCTATTGTATTTATACATAAATCAAATATTGCACTTTCCCTATTGCACCTATGCATAGTGTCCGTCAAATTGCACATATCCCTATTGTATCCATAGCTATTTACACATATTCCTTAATTTCATAAACACAGGCAGAGTAATTTTGTTTTAATCAATCCAATATTCAGCAACTTGTTCCTGTTAACTATAACACATGATAATCTGCCGCTAAAATGAGTCCCCAACAAATCAACCATTTCCTCCTGTTTGATTTGCTAAAAACTAGATGAGTTTTAAAAAACACTATAGTATTTTTTAAGCTTTTCTAAACATGAAATAAGATCTTTTGAACAAGATATATATCTTTATAAAGGACAAATATGCTTGGGGCTTAGTTGCAAAGAGAGGAAAGGGAGACCAGTAGGCGTTTAGAGAGACACTATGAATGTTGAATGCTGAGTCACACAGTGAAGCAGAAAAAACAGTGGTCAGATTTAATTAAAACGTTTGAAAAAAAAATTATAATATGGGCTGAAATACAAACCTGTGTTTTAAAGTGAAAAATTGACCAACATTTGTACACAGAGACAGTTTACACAGAATGTAATGGGAGAGATTAACTGTCATCGTTTTTGTTTCTGTGTCTTTTCATGCGATTCGTATACAGCGATTAACCTAAGCTGCCTCCTCTAAAGTTAAACGATAATAATATACTTCATACCATGTATTTTATAAATATAAATATAAAGTTTGATGACATGTGTGTGTCTCTTCCCTATATTCCAGTGAGAGTATGTAACTGCACAGAGCTGGGTTACTGCTACATGGCGCCAGTGGAGCGTAAACTCGGTTTTGGGATGGGACCCACTATCGGGATCCTGGCCGGCGTTCTGGGATTCTGCCGTAAGTCTGACAAACTGTCATATATATTACTCTGTTATCTTTGAAAAACAAATTCACGTTTTAACCGGCATTGTTCATACTGTAGGATATTGTGTTGTTATCTAGTATCGTGTTGGTGACTGATTTTTTTTTTCTCTTGTTGCAGTCATTGTCTTCGTCATAGTGATCAAACGTATTAATAAAGGGAACAAGAGAAACCTGAATGAGGATGAAGAAGAGAAGAATCCCATTAATTAGAGACCACACACAAACACAAACACACACACACACACACACACAAAATAACACGCACACACCAACACAAACACACATATTAACACAACATTATTTTATTGTATTTACAAGAGAGAGTTAAGTGCTGTGCACAGTTAATAACTGTCAGGTGGCCCCATGCTAATTATGCATTTATAAAGCTTGTTAACATATTTTATTTGAAGTTCACTCCTAGACTCGGGTTGTTTAATTAGCAGCTAAACTATCGCACATAATCCAATTTGTTTTTGGCCCAGACCGTTTGTGAGTAATTCTCTTCTGCCTTAATGTGTTGTTACAGCTGGAAATATCTTTCTTATTTAGAAACATCTTAAACCCAGAATGTCTCTGTCTGTAATGAACAATAACTGCTGTGTTTTGTAAGGAATAGTCATTGCTTTGTTTCCAAATAAACAAGAAACTGGGGAACACTTTTGTTTTCACATTATCATTATGTGTGTGTGTGTGTGTGTGTGTGTGTGTGTGTGTGTGTGTGTGTGTGTGCGCGCGTGCGTGTGTGTGTGTGTGTGTGTGTATGCTGCTTGTGTAGGTGTGTGTGAAGTACATACGGTGCATGTCAGATAAGAAATTAGATGCAGCAGATCTTTCAAACATTGAAACTTCAAATACGTTTTTCTCCTCTCCAGTCCATTTCCGACTAATATTTATTATGTGCTTAAAGGTGGGGTAGGTAATTCAGTTCAGAAACACTTTTTGTTATATTCCATGGAATGCTCTTAACATCCCGATAGCAATGAATACATTAAATGCTTTGTCAATAAATACATAAAAAAACTTCATCTGCGGAAGCCGTGGTGCTGTAAAAAGTACGACCACATTTTTTCCGGTTGTGTACTTTCAAATTCTAGCGCACTCGAGCTGCTTTCTCCATTATTACCTACCCCTGTACCTTTAAAGGTCCCATGTCATGCTTTTCCGGTTATTACCCGTCCCCTTGTGTGTTATGAAGGTTTTTATGCATGTAAATGGTCTGCAGAGTCACAAACCCTCAAAGTGCACCCTGTAGCGAGTAAAACTCTAACACCGAAAAGACCTGTCTATGCTGCCTCAGAACCCCTCGTTGGAGATTTCTCTTTTTCTATTTTTTTCTTCCTGGGTATAGTGACGTGCCCATACCCAAATGAACCCATTTGTCCAAATAGACCAATCCATGGAGCTCCTCATACACACACACACTCTCTCAGCGGTGAAGAGAGTGAATACACATGCTATACAGAGATGCTGTATGAGAAACCAATGTGAGTTTGGAAAATTGCACAATATAAATATATTCTAGACCTCAACAATGGAATTATGATCAGTAGAAAATGGCCATGACATGGGACCTTTAATAGTCAGTACTATTGCATCCGTCTTTGCCCGCCCCCCCCCCCCCCC